ATGTGGGAGAGCAGGAGAACGTTGCTTATCTCGCATCTGTAGATAGAGCTCCTGTTAAATACTATGTACTAAAGTATGTATCGCCGGCCACAGTAGTCGCGCGGTCTATGGCATGAACTGTCTTCGCTCGCTCGGACGCTGGGATCGTGGGTTCTAATCCTACTCGAGGCATGAATGTTTGATGTATGTATGCTTTTTTTCTGTTTGTGTTACCCCGCGTCTAGGTAGCTGCCTTGCGATTGGCTGATCACTCGTCCAAGGAGACCTACCGTCTGTGAAAAATAATTACGGAACTGAATAAGAGGCCTGGGCCTTGTGGAAGAGCCACTAAAGAAAAGTATGAATGGAAATTTTGTTTCATTTTTATTCGCGAAGCACATCTGAAAACAGGTCATGGAAGAAGGAACCGGATATGGCGAAGGAACTTCAGGGAGGGGGGGGTTAGAATGATTGTCACGAAACTATCATGGTTAACAAAATCTTCTTGGTTTCTCAGCCATGTCAGCTGGTTACTTGTAGCGTTCCATTAACTTTATTACCATCGAAGCTTCGGGTCCATCATCGTGTGAGCAGTTCCCCCAACAAAACAAAAACACCTAGAAAAGTCTTCGTTTTGAAACCAGTGATTTCCTGTTAAATTAATTCCCTTTTTCAATCTGATATCACTGAAATGAACGAGCTACAGGAAAACACCTACTCTGTTGGGTCCCTTATAAAGAGCTAGCCTCAATCACTAGACAACTGATGTAACAAAACACTAAGGCTATAAGCACCTGAGACCGCGCCAAGTCCATGAGAGCTAACAGGAAAAATATACACTAAATTTGTTTCAAATTTAGAATCCGGACGATGAACAAAGTCCGAAAACCCAGTATCTCTGTGTGTTATACACCATCGTCAGAACCCTATAGTATCTACTTAAACAAATTTGTTCTTTTACGCTCTTCAGAGTCGAGCAGATGTGAAAAAGGTGTCCTACGTTCTGTTAGATATTTGCACTATGTTTGAGGCATTCAACTTGTATCGAAATGAATACTGACATGAATTTTCGAGAGAATTACAACAGGAAGTCTGCTCTGTGCGGGTAAGATGAAGATTGTGCATGGTAAACCTGGACATATTCAAAATCAGGTGACAGTGGAATGTACCAATGGAGATATGGAAAACATTCCATCCACGTAATTAGAAAATAATAGAATGAATTCAGCTTATGAAAAACAGCATATCACGTGGTTATCAAATGCAGCCCGTAAGAAGCAATGTTTGAAAGGCTGTCTCGGAGTTTCCTCCATTCCCCCCTGGCTGTGTATCTGAAATAAGAACCAAAAAAGAACTTCAGTGAATAGTCGAGAGGACCAGTAATGAAGAGGACAAAGCCAAAGAAAGACAAAACTCTGCTGACGTAAGCAGTTCCAGTAATTTTGACGTCAACGTTGATTCAAGCCGCTCTGAATGAGAGAATCCGAAAGCTTGTCGCCTTGTGAAAGAGAGTGAAAATGTTGAACCAGATGACCGAAATCCATACCGAAGCCACTGATGTACGTAAGGGGAAACAAATTGCGAATAAAAATCGAGCGAACTCTAATAGTAACCTTGAACATAGACCGCGCCATAGCTCAAGCGGTTAGTCGCTGGTTTCCCACCGCGTCGGCTCGGGTTCGAGCCCAGCTCTGGTCATGTGGGGTTTGTGATGGATAAAGTTACGCTGGGGTAGGTTTTTACCAAGTGGACTTAGTCCCACCCCGCTAAGAAGAAAAAGAAAACTTGAAGATCAAGCCTGCGAAACGAAGATAGTGTTCGAGGTAAAGTTTTCTGTTTGTAAAACCGGAAACAGTGTCAGACTTCGTGTTGCAGTGGCGGATCGTGCTTGAGGCGATCCGCGTAACGCCATAGCTCTTAGAGTCGGTGTACAAGATGACCAACATTACAGGAGGAAATGTGTCACAACTTTTCACCCGAAACCAGTTTCGCGTTTGTGATAAGAGAATGTCTGAAGGTGGGGAAGTACCAGACAGCGAGATATCTCTGTGGGAATGTGACAGGAAATTGTCCTATCAGGAGGTTAATGTTAACAAATATATGTATATAAAGGTAAATACAACTGCAAAAGCAACGGGAAACTTGCAAATCTAGCAATCATGACAATCTTCTCAATTTTAATAAATAGTTATTTCAACTTCTTAAAAATCAAACGTTACAACCTTAACAAATAATTATATTTTTGTACTTTATATTTTTAGAGAGAGTTTTGAATTATATAAGACACGGGGCAACCGTAGTAGTGTACAGTTAGTTTGGTTAATGCTAGGCCTCTTGTAGCTTGCCGTTTTGTTGTTGTGTTCTCCAGAGGCAGGTCACGGTAGCCGAGCGGTCTAAGGTATGCACTATCTTCGCTCGCTAGGAAGCCGGGATTATGGGTTCGAATCTTACACAAGGCATGGATGTTTGGTATTTATGTGTGTTTATTCTATGTTTGTGTTGTCCTGTGTTTAGGTGCAGGCTTTACGACGAGCCGATCACTCGCCTAAGGAGTCCTACCGTCTGTGAGATAATCATGAAACTGAAAATCAGAGGCCAGGGCCCAAGGGGGCTCTAGAGCCAGTGTTAAAATGTCTCCAGATGAAATTCTCATTTAAGTAACTTTCAAATCTTTTATTTTCATGTGGATGAATGATAAATAAATTTATTCGGCAGTCGGGAGAAATCAGTCGGTATAGCGACGGGCTACGGGCTAGACGACCCGGGGTTCGATTCTGGGCAGAGGAGAGTTTTTTCTCTTCTCAACTCCTTCCAGACCTACTCTATGGCCCACCAAGCCTCCTATCCAGTGGGCACTGAGGGCGATTTCCCTCGGAATAAAGAGCCCGAGGCATGAAGCTAGCCAGTCACTTCCATCTAGTGCCGAGGTTAAGAATTGTGGAGTTTTGCCTCCACTCCCCCATATGTCTTCATGGTATTGTGCTTAATTAAATCAGCCCAGGGATAACTTTACCTTTTTACCTTACCTCTAGCTAAGTGGCTAAACCATTATTCGATTTGGGAATTATCCGATGATCTAAAATTTGTTGGGGTTCGAGGTAGCATAGGTGGTTGAGGGATTATGCTACAAGCTAGAAGGTTGCGGGTTCGAGTCCCGATGAGGTGGATTTTTTTTTTCAATTTATCTAATCCTTTCAGCCGCATTATGGCCCTGGGTTCGACTCAGCCTCTAACAGAAATGAGTACCAGGAAACTTCCTGGGGGGTAAAAGGCGGCCGGCACGTAAGGCTGACAACCTTACCGCCATCTGTGAGCCGATTGTCTAGAAGATATGGGAGCCTCGGCCTCTGACAACCCTATGGATCTTCACGGCCTGTTACAAGGATAACTTTATCTTACTTTTTTTTAATTTATTTCATTAGGATAGAAGATAATAAATAGTTCCTTTCGATAATTAATTATTCCTAGGGTTCTATGCTGGCTGCTTAGGAGTTCACAAAGTCTCTGAAGAATGTAATATAGGTGTTACGTTTCCCACTTTCACCAGCATTTCAGATATTTTACAGAACCGCCGTCTGTTACATAAAGTCACACATTAATTTCACAGTGGAATCTTGTGAGATTTCGGAGTCCATCTATGCAATGATGGCTCAGAGACTCGAAAGCCGGCCGGCCGCCCAGCGACTGAAGTTGCGGCACAGACTGTCACGTGACAACCAGACTGAAGTCCACCTGACAGATAAGGTTTGATCCCTTATGTTACCGTGACATATGAGGAGTTACGGAGCTATCTCTTGAATTATCACGTGCCTGGCTATGCCGCTAAAAGGGGATAGGAGTCAGGGCGCCGCAGCGGCCGTCTGTGAATTGTAATACTTGAGTCACTGTTAAACGTACTGAAGAAAGGAAAATGCGAACAAGATACGTCAATTGGAACTGTGTAATCATGCAAAAAGACATCAGAGGGCCTTCACACCCGCGCTTTGAACGAGTTTTTTCTTTAGCATTCTCAAGGGCGCCATTTTGTAGCGGCCTGAGGGCCTTGCACCCGTCGAAGTACGCAGTCCGTGCTTAAATGTCTTCCCCAGAAAGTGCGCCACACGGAAGGTGTGATATTTGTAGAAAGCGAAGTGCGCTTTTTGCTGCCCAGATAAAGGACGTTACCTTGGCTCCATTTTCTTACATCTCTGCTATCAACGATTCTAACATTCATTTGTACGAACATTTAAAACTGGATACAGTTTCATGGTTTCTTAAATTAAGGGAAGTGAGGATGGTTTCAGAATGGTGTGGAGAGGAGAATATTTTAAGGAGAAGGAAAGTAAGGGAAGTGAGAAAAGTTACATTTTGTTTAGTTTCACTCTGTACAGGTACAGTTGTCCCTGTGCTTAACTAATTAAGCACAACGCCATGAAGGCGTCTGTATAGAGCCACATTTTCTTGACCTCGGCACTAGTTGGATGTTAGTGGTCAGCTTCACGCCCCGGCCGCTTTACCCCCAAGGAAACAGCCTCCGATACCCGTTGGATAGGAGCCGGATGGACCCCAGAGCCGTTGTGGACGACATGGAGAAGTGAAAATTCTTGCTTCACCGGGATTCGAATTCCCATTCCTCCGTCCTCCAGCCCGTAGCCAGTCGCTATACCGACTGTACGCTTCATCAAATATTATTATAATGCTCAAATCATGAAAGATGAAATAAGCGGATAATGCAGCACGCACGAGCACTTTAAGCAGAAAACCTGAAGGGGAAAGACTCTTAGGGAGACCTAAGTCTTAGAAGAGCGAATATTAAAATGAACCATAAAGGAATAGGATATGTGAATCTGGACTGGATCAGGCTGGGGACCAGTGATCGGCTCTTGTGAATACGGTAATAAATCTTCTGGTTCTATGAAAGTCTCAGTGACTATTATATCCTCAAGAATGACTCTGCTTCACGATTATAGTTACAGTTTAGGGTCCTTAACACTTGACCTCGGCGTGGTCTTGCCCACATAATGATATAGTGCTGGACTCACCTGTATGCCCATTGTTGGTGACCGTGCTGGAGATTGGCTCGCTCTGAAAGCCATGGAAGTGCAAGGGCGGCAGGCGCACCTGTGTCACGAGGTGTTCCTCTATATCTATGGGAGACTGAAACTTTCCGGCGCAGGTCTCGTACTCCTCTGCCCAATGCGAAGGCCCTGTGGCACAAACGGAAATGCATGTTACACTTGCCGCTACATATGGCACACTGTATAATTACCAGCCTCCTGCCATACGACGCTGAACAGCCACTGGTACTGACACAGCGTCCTTGCGAACCATCCATCAATCCCACTGGCTCGCGAACGAGTTCTGAACCACTGCCCTTACATGATGAACATCACTACTGGTTCAGGTAAGGTCTCGTTTTGCCACAGAGGAGGGTTAAAGAAAATTAGTTTGTTACTGATAAATGTGCCTTGAAATTTACACCATTTCGTTACACATCACCAAACCTCTGCACGTTTTAATTTTCTTCCATCAATAATACCAACATGGCAGCCATGCATGCTTCTGAGTTGGGAGCAGATCTAGTGCCGCGTTATATGGTGTCCTGATGGGATAATAGCGGTTAGAAATTTTTTCTTAATTTCTGTTCAATATTGCAGTCTTTGTATTATCGGTTCAAAAGTTGTTAGTCAGGGGGAGAAGAACAGGCTGTAAGAAATATAACTTTCCGTCGAGGGACACTAATTCGCTTTGCTCTG